TTGAGTTCATTTCTGAATTAAAAATGTGTAAAATAATCAAAAACCGTTTAAGTCAATCCAATCAAATTTGTTACTTCATCACATGTGTATTTATTTATATCATATTCATAAAATGTTGTTAAATACGATTAATTATCTAAATTCATTTCCAAGCAATCGCTCCAATTTTATAATTCGCTTCCAATTTCATTTCATTTTGAACAAAATTTTTGTTGAAATTTGCTAAGTAATTTAACACTTGACGAGGTTTAATCAAAATCAACAACTTCATTTGTATCTTCATCCATAATAATTATTATATCAAAGAAATTTTTGGCCCATTTGAAAGCGTTTCCCAATTTTAAATGGAAACTGAGCTTAAGTTTATGCATATTTATGATGTATCTTTACACACACGTACGCAAGCGATTGTGTATCTTTGAAATTTCTATAATTGTAACGCGTAAATCCGCTGAAATGCCAACGTAATGATTTTAGATTAAAATCGTACGAAAGAAAAAAGAAAAGACAGCAAAAAAAAGATATGAAGTGATAATTGCGTATCTCTTATGTTGTGCAAATTTTTTCTGCCTTCTTAGTGGGGCTTTGTAATGGAAGTTTGAAAAGGCATCTGAGTCTTATCAGTGCCAAAAATTGGTGGCTTAAAATTGTAATTGAAACCTTTGTAGCTGTTGGTGTTATAGTTGTTATTGTTGTTACTGCTGCAGATACATCTAAAAATATGAATAATGAAAATTGCATATGATGGCTCCAACAATTTTTCATTGTATCTTGTGGGTGTTACAGTAACAATTTCAGTGGTTAAGATTGCGTGCTTCTGTGATTTAATGATTTGCAAAAATGTCCAAACTATTTGTTTTCTTTACAGCATTACAAAATTTTATAGATGAAGGTCCAAAAATTTTTTTGGTACAATATTCAATTATTATTACTGTAATTAACGAGTATTGAAAGTTTTGTTAAATATGGACTTTGATGCATTTAAAGAGATATTTTAACAAATTTCAATTTAAAGGTTAACAAAACACAGTGTATTTAGAAATAATTCAGTTTCAATGTAAATTTAAAATGAAGAAGACTAAAGAATGTGTATTATATTTTTACTCTTAATAAAAAAATTTAAATTTATATACGAAATTAATACATACAATAATAATTTATATTATGTATACTATAAATATGCTAGTTGTATGTGGAAGCTAGTCAAACTGGTACAGTTTAATATAATATTTAACAATTAATTGTTATTCAATCAATCAATCCAGTACGTTCCCATGGAACATTGGGCTGTAACGAACTTTTTCCAACTGTCTCCAGTGTTCGCTTCCACGTTTGCTTGGGCCTACCAGGTCTTCTGCTTCCTTGAGGATTCCATGTTAATGCTTGTTTGCAGATTTCATTTGGTGCCTTCCTCTAAGTGTGCCCGATCCATTGCCATTTACGCTTTTTGATTTCGTTTGCTATAGGAAATTAATTTTTATTATGACCAATTTACTACACCTTTTTTGATATATACCGGGCTTAGGTCTTTTATTTAATACATAAAATTATGTGTTATTTTAATTAATAAAATATTATCATTTCATTTAAATTCTAAGTCGACATTTAAAAGATAACTGTATCAGTACTGAGCAACAGTTCTTTAATTAGAATGGAAATTATTACTAACATATACCAAATTTCAGAATATCTGCAACAAAGTTTTCTTAATAGTTAGACACTTTAAGCTCAGTTAGATGGTCATAACTGACCAAGTTAAATCAGTTACATATCCTAATAGTGCAATTATTCTAATCACCTCAACTTTATTCTTAACAGGGAATAATATGATCTCCGAAGTAATCTTGCTTCAACTCAGCTTTTATACTAATCATTGAAAATTGAAAGCATATAGATCCTGATAACAGAACTCTTGGCACCTTTACAAAAACATTTTAACTTTCTACCACTAACTATAATGCTCATCATCATGGCTATAAATGTAATATTAATTTGCATCCCTAAATAATAGTTGACATATCAGATTGATTCCTGCGACGAAAACATGTTCAGTAAAGACTGCAAACTGAAGCATAAAGATTATCAATTATAGTAATAGTACAATAATTTATATCTCAGTTTTTGATTAATAAAAAGTACTTTAAGGAAAATATCCTAATTTAACGGTTCTTAAAATGTAACCATTACTTATAGCTTCTTTCCACTAAGAATACTCAAAATATTCATTAATACAGGTACTTGTAAAATCATTCTTTCAATTACTCCCAATACATTGCTCTATTTTGATTTGTATTTTTTAATTCATTCCAATTTAAGTCCATCAAAAATCTACTGCTATTAATATGTATTAAATTTAGAGTGTCAAGTGTCAAATTTCTAATCCACGTTCGTGTAACTTCGTGTTGAAGTCAATTATTAGATGTAATGAGATTTCTTTCTATCAAATCTTGTAATTTTTGAATTTTACTTGCACCAGAGAAATAATTTGGTATGTTGACATGACCATCAATACATGAAACAACACCAATCCAAATCGCAAACTTAGATCTACAACAAAATCGATTTTTTTAATCTGAATTTGAAAAATCCAAACTGAAATTGATCATCTACATTTTATTGAACTCTTTCCTGCTAGCTACCACTTTTCAAATTTATGATTAAAAAAAGTATGCGCCTGCAGAGATATCTGCCAACATGTCAAATGTAAAGAGAAGCATCAGTTTATCTTATATATATCTTAAATTCACATATGGCGGTTGATAGAGTTATAAACAGTCCACGTTTGTTGACGTAATTTCTATTTATAATAATACTATTATTCTAGTAAAATATTGATTTACAATTAACACAGTCCAATTTTATGATTTCCAGAAGCTTAGTTGTCCGCTTAAAGCGTTGTGAAAGGAGTTGGTCAATACAACTGTCTGTTCTAAATTCCGTTATCAATCGCGCCTATTATTTTAATTAAATAAACTAATATGAGTAGCTCCTGCATTAAAAGTATCTGTATAAAAACAACTCTATATACGAAGGTGATACCTTAAGAAAATATGTTTAGAGAAAGGCTGCAGACCATTAACAAATCTAAGTGGAATCTGTGACAAATTACTTTTAACTTAACCTAATAATGTTTTCAATCTTAAAAAGATTAAAAACCGTACAACATATATGAAACAATCTATTGTATTTTCTATTAATAATTTTAATTTAAATAGAATACTGAAAATATATCTTTCAGTAAGATGTTAAGAAATTCACTTAAAAAATTTTTTTTCTACAAAAAATTAAATTATATACGAGTATTCTTTATTTCTGCATCTGCAATCTTAATGTCTAAAAAATTTAATATTGTTATTTTTTAAAAGGCCAATGACTTTCAATTTTAATGTTACTGTTATTCATGCAGTTGTAAAATATTTTCAAAATTATTAAAAAAATAAAAAACTTTGAAACTGCACACCTTTAAATTATTTGTGCTTCCAAATAAAGTT